TGTAGATACAATGTAAAATCTAAATTAAAACTGAAAACAGTGATGTGTAAACCATCTGTGTCCTGTAGGACATTGAAACAAAACAAGTTGGGACGGCTGCATTTCAAGGCCAGTAATGAGGTAAAATAATGAAATGGTGATTCCATTAGAAACAGGTGATGTCAACAGGTGACTGCATCATGATTTGGTACAACAGTGGCATCCAGGAAAGGCCGAGTCCTTTAGGAGCAAAGATGGGCCGAGGACCGCCAGTTTGACAACATGTGTGTGAGAAAATTATTGAAATGTTTAAAAACAATGTTCTTCAGAGAAAGACAGGAAGGGATTTGGATCTGTCACCCTCTACGGTGCAGAACATCATTAGAAGATTCAAGGAATCTGGAGGGATTTCAGTGTGTGAAGGCCGAGGGCCGAGCCTCAGCTGGATGACCGAGCTCTCCGATCCCTCAGACGGCACAGCATCAAGGATCGTCTCTCTGCTATAAGCGATATAACCACATGGGCTCAGGATGACTCTGGCTCACCTGAGTCAATACGTAGTTACATCCATAAATGCTGCTTAAAACTGTGCTGTGCCTTCCCAACTTTTTCTGATTTGGGGTGGTATAAAACTATATTATCATTGTTATTAGTACTATAAGTAGTATTCACTCTGTATGGAATAATAATTAGAGACTAGTATTGTGTGTGTGTAGCTGTGACTTGTATGGCCGGCAGTGTGAGGAGAGGGGTGAGGACATTTTGGTCGGTCCCCACTTTCTCCAAAGGGAGGTTTGAAGGTTAAGACTTGGTTTTAGGGTTAAGGGTTAGGGTTAGGTGTTAGACATATAGCTGTGACGGTTAAGGGTGGGGTATGAGGCTAGGGAACGCGTTAGGTCAATAAATGTCCTTACAGAAATAGCTATACAATAAGGTGTGTGTGTGTGTGTGTGTGTGTGTGTGTCCTGGCTTTAATTCTGTCAGTAGCTAGTGTGTTCCAGGTCAGCAGCTTTAGTCACACACACAGAAGTAAGGCCATCCTGAGCCATATACGTCCACCTGCCACCCACTGTGTGTGTGTGTTTGTGTGTGTGTGTGTGTGTGTGTGTGTCTGGTCCACAGACTGAACCCCCTACTCAGAGACAAACAATCCTGAGAGGCAGAAGACCGATTTCGAAACTCTGTCCAGCTCTCTGCAGACAACCTTTCCCCTCCCCCCGCCCCCTCTGTCCCTCCCCGTCATTAGCAGTTCTTCATAATTCATGTGCTTAGATGAAAAATGGATGAACAACGAGCATGACACCGGCACAGCTCCTCACAATTAAAAACCCAGTGAGAACTCTCATCCCAGTTATGCAGCTGTGGCTGTCGAACTGCACAGAGAGACAGAGGGTGTTCACTGGTTTGGATCCTGAGATCAAGTGGGAACACGCAGGGGCAGGTGATAGAAATATACCATCTGTCATCCAAACTGGTCCCAAACTTGAGAATAAACCATATACAGTACCTGCAATATACTAAAAACCACGACATCCCAGATTTCATTGTGGACACAGACTTTTGTCTCACCATTCCCCTTCTCTCATTATTATGATGTCTCAAAACCTGGGCACAAGGACAGATACCAAAGAAAATGGGTGAGCTGACCCTTTGACTAAAGCGTTACCCTGTCCTAAGAGACAAAGAAAATTCTCAGCCAGATTCTGCCTCATACGAGGAAGAAAACAGAAAACAGAAAACTGACTGTTCTCAGACCTGTGAGATCATCACTGTGCACGAAACTCTGCTTCCTGACTGTCGACACACGGCCTCATCATGTGTTACTTTATGTATGCGTTCTGACGTCAAATGGCTAAACAACCAGGCTGTTAAATGACAGCAAATCTTTGCCAGTTATGCTGACTGGGATCGTTTTCAGAAAGCTCGTCTTCCAGACCGCAGCTCGCGCTGGACATTTTCTCACTGGGGGATAAATTAGAGCTCAAGAAGGGGCCTTTAACACTGATAACTGTCACTGCTGAGGAGAGAGAATACTCCAGCCAGTATCTTGTGACTGCAGTGAGCCAGATCCTGTCTCATAAATATTCAGATGTGGGAATACTGGGGGAGGCGGGGCCAGAAGCGGCAGATCGAGCAGTCACCATAGCAAGGGACTGCTGTTGTCATGTGGCAACCGGGGAGGCAATAACGGACGCAGCGTACCGGGACGCCACATTGTGTGAATCCCTGTAATTATAGTCTCAGCTCTCTATGTGTGTCTGGCTCGGTAAACAGGAAGTGCATGTGCATTTGTGTGTCTCACACACACCTGCAGCCCGCGTGCCAAATAGGAACTTAAGGCCTTTAGAGAGCTGTTGTAGCTGTTCCACTCATGAGCTTGTGCTATTCATACGCTAATAAATACTTGCTTATGCCGGTTTGTGTATTTCTGTGTATGAGGGCGGTTCGTACGGGTGCATGTGTGCGTGCATCCCCGTCTCAGGAGGTCATGTCAGAGCCAATAGCAGGTTTATGGCTCATAATGACCGATGCTGAAAGGCATCCGTGGAGCCATGCTCGCTAATTATCAGCTGTATGCCTTCAAAGAACATTATCAGCACAAAGACTTGCAATTATACACATACTCGCACACACTCGTGCACACAATCCCCTCACACCCCTGTTTCCGGCATCATCTCTTTCTCCCCCCAAACTGCCTCCTTTCTCTTAATTGCTGTTGTCCTCTTGTTTGGATCTCTACACCATTTGTTTCATTCTTTTGTCTGCTCACTACGACTCCCATGATCCTCTTTTCTTCTATCCATGCTCCATCTTTCCAGCATGTTTTAATTTCCTGTCCTCCCTTATCCATCCCCATAATCCCAATTCCTACCATATCTCTCTTTCAGCTCCCCTGTTTCCACTTTCCTCCCTCTCTTTCTTCATTCCTCCTTCCTCCTTCCAGCTCCTCTTCCTCCGCCTTGACTGAAACAGGAGCTTATATAACGAGCCGGGTGTCAGTCAAACCACCCGAGAGCTTCATTAGAGGAGGAGAGCGCACAGGATCAAATTATACGCCCAGTTCTCTTTTGTGTGATTGTGTCTATTTGTGTGTGTTTGCGGTGGATTGTGGGGGGTCGGTGGCAGTGATGGTGGTGGTGAAGGCAGAGTGGAAGTAAACACACATTCTGGAATGACGCAGCTGTGCGGTGGATTAACACGTAACACACACCGTTAGTGTGTGTCAGCTCATGCGACAGTCACAGCCTCGCCTATTTTCTCCAATCAGAGAGAAAAACAAAAGCAAACTATTTTGCCTAATTATTCACAGACACTGTTATCTGCTCTTTTATCCCCCTGTGTTCTGCTGCTTCTCCACCGGTGTCTCCTTCTGTGCTGGATCTTGTTTTTGATCTGAGCTGATTTACCTGCTACGTTTGCCTGTGACTGTCAGGTGTAGCTTCAAACTAACAACATATGGGGACTATATTATTAAAAATAAAAAGGATTTTTGTACAACTGATTATCCCTTTTCTTCATGCAAAACAAAAGTACTAAGTACAGTACGCAACCCAAGGATAAACTCATAGAAATAATAAAAAGTAAAAGTTAAAATTCACAGAGCTGCTGAGTTATTTAAAAGGCTGCATCAGTGGTCAGATAGGATTCAGCCCATTAAAGCTGCATATTCTTTACATTACCACTGAGTATTTGTCCAATAAACTGAAGGTTTTTAAATAGATTCCTTCCTGTCCAGGGAGCAGTTGGATTCAGTTTATTTTACTACAGAACAAAAATCTGCTCACAGAGACTTAAAACTCTCTCGACATAATTACCACACCACTGTGAACATTGGGGCAACCTTTTTGGTTTTAAAAAGACGGGACTGCTTCATAGAGACCAAAGTCACAACATTTATGTTTCTGTATAGTTTGCCTGCTGAATTCAGCCTTTAATCTACACAGATTTATCCAGGAATATTTTGCCCCATTGAGACCGAGGGACTCTATTACAAGGGAGAACTGGCAAAGCATGGCTACTGTATTATTTGATACAATACTCGAGGCATCACGAACCCACTGTTGTTTAATTGCCCTCGTACTGACACACGACACGCTCAAAAAACCTGAAAAAGAGAGAATCTATTCTTGTCAACGACAACTCAGAGAAGTGCAGGTACATAAATAATCTATTCAGTTACAACAAGGGAAATCATTCTCACACTATTACTCCCAGTGTAAAAGGCAAAATAACCTCATGATGCTCTTATTAAAATGAAGCACAGCATTTAAAGAGTCAGGACACACAAATGACAAAAAAGAAGCTATGATGAATTCAAATAGATAATGGTCATACTTATGGACCCTATAATGTTTCCAAGATGTTGGTAGATACCCAGTTGCACTTGTATTTCATACAAACTGTTATACTCAATGAGTGTTGGAACAGTAGTCTCTGTCTGTGATTATAATCCACATCATAAAGCACTATAGGCGTGTCTTAATTCCTTACCTCAATTGGATCATATAGCTGAGAAAGTGATCTTTTTACCCCATACCATAGCATTTTGCAAGAAATGGGGAGGCACTGATGGTTTTCTGGGCAGGATATTCATCCTTTTCGTGTTAACTCTGCCTCAGATGAGAAACAGGTTCTGCTATTTTAAGGTCGGCCCTTATTTAAACCTTCTTCTCCCCTCCACTAGCTTGATCTGTCGTTCTGTCGCCAAAAGGTTTAGTTTAATGACCCTCCTCGGCCGTAGATCTGAGCCGCGTCACGTCTCTCCTTTCCAATTTCCCTTTTCTCTCCCCCTCTATTTCCTTTCTCTCTCCTACCACCAGCCCATCTCATCTGCCTCCTGTCCTTCTCCGTTATCCCTCCCAGCAACACCACTCCAGTGCTGAAACTAAAATGCCTGTTGATGTAGCCAATGCTTGGCCTGAAGCCTTGAGATACACCCCACGCCTCACTGAGGATGAGGCCTAAGGGAAAAGAAAGAGTGAAGGGTAAAAGGGAAACAGGAACAAAAAGAGTAACAGTACCTTTGTATCGGTCCAGAAAGATCACTGGCGTCCTGCCTGTAACATAAAATGGCAGAAAGAAGATTTGTGAAAAACTGTTAACATAAAAACACTGGTATAATAAAAGATGAAAGTAATAAACAAACATTATTTTAAATAAAAATCACCATATTCAGGATCAAAGCAGGAA